GCTCCTGCCACTCAGGGGGGGGGAAGAGACCCTGCCCCACCCCAGGAACACATTCCTACACAAACACACCAGCGACACACATGTGCCAGCACATTCCCCATTGCACCTGACATGTGCCCTTGGGGCTTCCTGGACCTTCAGTCTGAGGCTCAGCCCTTCCCTAATGGCCCCCCACGGTCCCCAAGGCATGTGTGTGTGTGTGTGTGTGTGTGTGTGTGTGTGTGTGTGTGATTTATGCCCTTCTTTCCTCCCCTGTGTGTGTGTGTGTGTGTGTGTGAGATTCCTCCCCTGACTTGTGGGTCTTGAGCAGGGGGTGGGACTCAATGGCCTTTTTTGGCCCATCCAGCTCCAGGATTCCTGGATTCTAGGGCTCGTTGATGGAGCTTCCTGCACTGCGTCTCTCCGACAGTGGGTCGCATGAGCCGGGGTGGGGGGAATGTAGTGGGAGCAGGGAGCCTTTCCTCTCTGCCCTTCTCTTCCCCCCCCCACCTCAGGTAGAGAGGAAACCAGACCCCAGGGTAAACAAGTGAGCGCAGGATTGGCACGGAGCCGAGGGAGAGAAAGGCCACCCACGACCCTCGGCAAGATCATCCGATCTGCCGTGGGCAGAGGCAGGAAGGATGGGGCGGTGAGGAGGGGGGAGCTGCTGGACACTCCTGCCCCCAGTATGGGGGGGGGAATCATTTGTATCTGGGAGCCTCTCCCATTTCCTCCCACTTCTCTGAGGAGCAGGCAGGGAGTTGAGGCCGCCCGGCGGCTTCCTTCTCGATATGGGGTTTGCTCTGTTCCGACTATTTTTACCCCGGCCGGCACTCACTGGACAGGCATCCTCCAGCCCTCCATTCCTTGCCATTCTCCTCCTTGTGGGGCAGGGTTGCATTTCTCCCTTAGGTGCCCTGACCTCCTGCTCCCCCCCCTCTCCCTTCTGCTCACCCTTTGCTGGTGCAGGAGTGGCCTGGCTAAAAATGGTAAAATGCCCCACTGACCAATCAACAGGTGAGGAGGAAGGCAATTGGCTGTCAGGAGGACAGTCTCCTGCTGCGTCCAATCCAGAGGGGTTGGGCAGGACCCTGCTGAGCGAGCGGGGTATAAAAGGGAGCTCCCTGAGCTGGAGCACCAGCTGTTGCCCAGGTTCCGAGTGGCGTGGGAGGCGCCGATTCCGTCTCTGTGGGTTGCTTTGGGAGACGACCTGCCACCATGGTAAGCATGGCAGGACATGGGCGAGCATGCCCGCTTTGGAGTCGGCGCCCAGGAGGGTTGGAGCTGGACCTCCTCCCGGGATGCTGGACCCAACCGCTGAACGGACACTGACGGAGTGGCGAACGAGTTGGTTTGCGTGTCCGAAGGGACAGGCCAGCCCCGGAGCCCAGGGCCGGCACAGACGCGGCAAGAAAACCGCCAGGAGGCAGACCAGCTGAGCTCCAGGAGAGCGGCTCTGTGTGGGGCCGAGGGGGCAGGCGTGACCCCTTGGCCGAGGCTGCTGGTTAGAGGGAGAGAGAGGGTTCAGAGCAGGGCTGGCTGGCTGGCTGGGGGGAGGCTGGGGTGGCTGGCCGAGGTGGGGGTCCAGGAAGAGAGTGGAGACCTCTCCGGAAGGGTCAGGGCAGCAGATTTGCTGGAAACGGGAGCAGCCCAGTTCTGCTCCATCTCCCTCTGCCTGATACCTCTTCTTGGGGGATGCGAGGCAGGCAGGGCTCCCCTGCCACGGAGGGAGTCTGGCTTGGGCTGAGAGGTGTCCCGGAGCCCCGCCAAGCACGCAAGGAAGGAGCCAGGCACAGGGAAAGCTGAGCTGCGGGTCACAAGGAGCGGCTGGGAAGCCTGCCTGCCCGCCCGCCCGGCTCTGGACCGGTGCTGCAAGACCCAGCTTGAAGGCGTAACCCAATCGGAGAGCCGACAGGTGCTGGAGCAGCTGGCAGCCGGCCGGCCGTGCACCCTAGAAGGAGGGCCCAGGCGGGCGCTGCTAAGAATAGCCCAGGCTCAAGACGGACCTTCTGCCCTGGGGGGGGGTCTGCGGCTCCTGCGGCCGCCACCAGCGCCGTGGCCAGCGCCATCACAGCTTCACCAAGCAGAACCCGAAGACCTGGGTGAAGCATGGCATGAATGAAGCGGAAGAAGGGCCACTGCTCCGGGGCCCCACCGGGGCCAAGGGCCACCGCCGAGGGAGGCGCCTGGTGCCCCCAAGGGGCAGCCGCAGGACCCCCGAGACCGGCAGAACGTCACCCCTGGAACCAGTGGGGTTCTTCCTCAGAGAGCCCAGAGAGCCAGCACCAGCTAGATGGGGGGGATCCTACCCAAATGACCCCCTTTTTTGCGGACAGTGGGAATGGGGTAGCAGCTTTTGCAGAGGGGCCTCTGACGTCTGCCCCTTCCCCACCTGGAAATGCCCCTTCCTGTGTCCTGCCAGCCTCTTTCCTCCCTCGCTGGCCAGGAGGCCTCCTGCCCTTCTGGGTGCCCGGCATTCAGTAGGGCATGAGGGACAGTCCGGGGGGGGGCTTGACGGGCAAAGCAGGCCCTGCTCTCCCTGGGGAAGAGGAGGAGGAGGTGGCGAGGGGGAGGGACAGGCAAAGCCAGAGTTGGTGGGGGGACGCCTTAGTCGCATGGTGACGGCCTTTGTTTGCCTTCCAGACGGATCAGCAGGCGGAGGCCAGGTCCTACCTGAGCGAGGAAATGATAGCAGGCGAGTTGAAGGGCCTCCCTGGCGGGGTGGGGGCAGGAGACACCACCAGCACCCCTCCCAGCCAGTAGGGCCAGGGAGGGGGGCAGGCAGGAGGTGCCTGCAGCTTTCGTGTGCCTACAGCCACCGCAAGGGAAGGGGTGTGCTTGCAGCCCAGCAGAACCGCAGTGGGAAGAGGCATCAAGTGCCACCGGGGTGTAGAGTGGGGTGGCCAGCTCTCCCCGGGCCACGTCAGGACCTGTCGCTCCCATTCTGGAGCTCCCTTGCCCAAGGACCACTGTGCTGCCTGGACATTCAGCATAGCGGGGTGGGGGTGGGGGAGGGAGACACCCTTTTCCACTCTGTTGTTTTTTTGTCCCTCCCTCCTCTTGTGCATTCCATGAATGCTTTGAACAGAGGTTGAGGAGCATGCACGCACACACATGTAGAGGACCAAACACATTGGCAAAGCGAGCATCCTCTGGCAAACCTTAGGAAAACATTCCTTCTCAACCTGCATGCCCAGCATGCCCCCCCTCCACCCGCCCTTCCTGCCTGGGGCTTCTGAGAGTCTGAAAAGGCCACTTGTCCAGCTCCGCCCTCCTGCCTCTTGGGGCCTGATTGCCACTTGCAGGGGGGCAAAGGCATCCCTAAAGGGTTCTCCCCCCCCCGGGGGGTGGCTTCCTTTGAGGAAGGTGTGCCTGGATCCCAATGACCAGGAGGAGGAGGAGGAGACAGGGAGGCTCACCCTGGTGTCGGAGGCCATCCGAAGCAGAGCCCCCCCTTCCTCCGGGCGTCTGCTCCTCCGCTCCGCCGTCCTCCTGGCTGACCCGGGGCTGCCTCTCCTGCAGAATTCAAGGCTGCTTTCGACATGTTCGACGCCGACGGTGGCGGCGACATCAGCACCAAGGAGCTGGGCACCGTCATGAGGATGCTGGGCCAGACGCCCACCAAGGAAGAGTTGGATGCCATCATCGAGGAGGTGGATGAGGATGGTGAGAGGAAGCACGAGGGGGGCCGGGGGGGGAAAGACCGTCAGGCAGACGTCCAGGGGTGGGGAGGAGTGGGCAGCGTCTGACCTGACCTCCTGCCCGGCTGACCCCTTGCAGGCAGCGGAACCATCGACTTCGAGGAGTTCTTGGTCATGATGGTGCGCCAGATGAAAGAGGACGCGAAGGGCAAGTCCGAGGAGGAGCTGGCCGAGTGCTTCCGCATCTTTGACCGGTGAGGCGGCCCTGCCCGGCTGGCCACAGAGCCTGGGGTGGCACAGTCATTGGCACAGTGCCAAGGAGTCTCGAGGAGGACCTGTAGACTAGTGTGCCTCTCCCTGCACACACACACACACACACATACACACAGAGGGAGGGAGGGAGGAAGCTGGCGGTGCCTGCTGGGTGACCCTTGGTGCTCAGGAACAGGCCGGCCAGTCCCAACCAGCGGTGTCGCCTGCTGACCGACAGCCCCGCAAGAGCAGCGCTTTCCACTTTCTCCCCCTCTCAAGTTACAAGGAAGCTCACGGTGCCTGACTGTCCACCCCCCAAAGCACCAGCAATGCAACGTTAGTCTGTGCAAGGACCTTGGACAAAATCAAATGCAGACATACGCCCAACCTCCAGTCTCCCTCTGACGTCTGAGGAAGTGGACTTGATCCAAGAAAGCTCACATGGAAATATGTTTTGGGGTGTCAGAACATCTGCATCTTTTATCCCATTTATCTTGTGGTTCTATTTTGTCCGATATGCTCCCCCAAACAGAGCTACTGCTCTGGCCTGTGTTAGCCTGCATTGTGCTTGGCCTTGGAAGGTGGGTCTGTCCATCCCACATGGGGGCAGTGGGGGGGGCGGGTTTGGAATCAGATGCTGCGCTCATCCTGCCTGTTTGGCTTGACCTTCTCATGGGACACGGCCTGGCCGTCTGCCCAGCCCCTCTTCTCTTTCGCTTGTCTCCCACATTCTTGGCCTCTCTGGTCAGTGGCCATTAAAGCTTGGGAAATGAGGGAAATGGTTGGGAAGTTTTTGGGGAGCCCTCCTAGGAGACCCCCCCCCCATTTAGGAGAGTAGCTACCATAGCATTTCCCATGGACATTTAAACCAACCTTTATTTCTCTTTACTGCTTTGATTTGGATCCCTGTCTTGCGCAGGAGATTGGACTTGATGGCCTTAGAGCCCCCCCCCCTTTCCCCTTCCATCGTTCTGCAATGCTAGGCTTCTATTCTCTCTTTTCTGGAGCAATAAATCTGTCCTGTGACAAGCAGGCGCCATGAACGGATGCGTCCTGCAGTATCTTCCAGCAGAAATGTGGCGGAAGGGGGAAAAGAAATCACCACCCCCCCAAGTTGTGGTCAGAACCTGCCATAACAAAGCCAGGATTTCCACCACCCCCTTGCCTGCCCCAGGCCGACCCATGCGGGGTGGGCACGCCTTCAAACCCAAGAGCTGAACCTGTGCAATCCATTCCGGGCACACGCCTCGTTACACAACAAGGGGAGAGCCTGGTGGGGTGGGAGGAGGAGATTGATGTCCCTGCTTGGAATGTGGGGAAGAAGGGATGAGGCCCACAGGGACACTGGGGGGAAGCCCGCGCTCCCCGGCAGAAGGGCCCCGCTTGGGTCAGCCGAGCGGCCGAGACCAGGGGAGGCCACCCCTCACTGGCCTCCCCTCTCCCCAAACAGGAATGCCGACGGCTACCTGGACGCTGAGGAACTGGTGGAGATTTTCAAGGCCTCCGGCGAGAGTGTCACCGACGAGGAGATTCAGGAGCTGATGAAGGACGGAGACAAAAACAATGATGGCCGGATCGACTTTGACGGTGGGCGGCCCACCTGGCCCCGTCTTTCCTGGGGAGCCAATGGGCTGGAGACCGGGAGGCCCCTCACGTCCCGCTCGCTCAGCTGGCCCCTCAACCCAAAGGCCAGAACCCCCCCCTCTTTTGCTCCAGAGAGGGGGCTTCTTTGACCACCTCCCGGCCCCAACTTTCTGCTTGGAGGTTTTGGGCTTCTGGAGATGGGGAGCAGAGGGCCGGGGGGGGGGGCTGCCAGGATGCTGAGGCCAACGCCAGTCCAGCAGGCCTGAACAGGGGAAGGTGGGTTGGGCTTGTGAGATTCCTGTGCCCAGTCCTGCTCTGGGGCCAACCTGCCTTGTCTGTTCCCGCAGAGTTCTTGAAGATGATGGAGGGTGTGCAGTAAAGTGCCTGGACATTCCTTCCTTCCGAGCGAGGGGCTGCTTTCAGCACTCCAAGTGGCCCTCGCTCACTTCTGCTCCCGCCACCTCGCCCTGCCTCGTTCCAGCCGGCTCTGCGCAGCGCACCTCAGAGACCCCCTTCCAGCTAAGCTCTGTGGACCCTTGACTGCCTGCAGCTTTTGAGAGTCTGTTCAAAACATTAACCCTTCAATAAAGAGCGAAGGACTGGAACTGCCTGGAGACGGGAGAAAGGCTCTGGCCTGGACGTGTCCTTGCTTGCAGTAAAACCCTTCTCTTGGGAGAGGTTTCGGGTGGGTGGGTGGGGAGGAGGGGGGAAGCCGAGCAAGCGCTCTGGCACTGGGAGGACGCCTGCCCCCCGCCAACCCAACAGAGGTTAGGAGCTTCCGTCTTGGCCAAGCCCAGGAAGGCCTTTCCCGTGGTTGATTCCCAGCCTTTCCCCACTTCCTGCTCTTCTCCAGAGGTGGCTAAATCAGCCAATGGCCTGCGGGTTGTGGTGGCCCCCCAAGGGAAAGCTAAACCAATTGTGGCAACCCCAGAGCCGTCGGGAGTATCCCACAGAGGAGAAGGAGGTGGTGGTAGAACGCCTGCAGCAGGCAGGATGATCTCTGCAGCCTCAGCGTTCAGCTCCAGCCTTCTCAAAGCACCAGTGCTCAGGCTGCGGGGAGACTTCTTTTGCCCCTGGTGGCAACTTGACCCATTGCACGTGCTGTCCCTGAGGTGGGGGGGGCAGGGGGACTTCCAGAGTGCGACCCAAGCACACCCAGGAGCCACCCNCCCCCCGGTTTTCCACTTGCAAGTGGCGGTTTATCTGCGAAGGTGCTTCAGGGGACCCCCTCCAAGGAAAGGAGGCCGAGTTCCCACTTTGAAAAGCCACCTGTGGCCCTCGCGGCTGTGAAGCGTCTCTGCATTAAGCTGGCGGCCCAAGGCTGGGACAGACGGGGACCCTCGGGGGGGGGGAGGGCGTGCTAGAGAAGAACCTGGAAGCAGAGGGGAGAGGCTGCTGCATGGAGCCCCCCAAAAAAGGTATTTCCTGGCCAGGCAAGGCTTTGCTCTTAGGTTCTGCTGACGAAGGAAGCAAGCTTCGGCTTCTGGGTTCTCTCGTGCACATCCCCCCACTCCCAATCATCCGGCACCAGCATCCCATGGGCTTACAAAACCTTTCCCTCTTCAGCGCTTGAGGCCCCAAAGTCTCGGCTTCCTAACTGGTCTTCCTGACCAGCCCCAGCAGATGGTCTGGGCTGTTCAGCAGGGGAAGGGATTCCGTGTCGAGGCAGAAGCAAACAGGGCCTCTCCTTTGTCAGAAGGCAGTTGGTCGGTCGGTCGGTCGGTCGTCTCAAGGAGACCTGAGCTAGGCTTCGCCAGCGTCAACCCCCGGGCGGTGTACTAGGGTGTTCCTCCTAGTAGCTTGGACTCTACCATTCCCCCCCTGCCCCCGCATCATTACCAGCTGGAAGAGCAAACCTGTTTCTCAGGGTTGGGGCCTGCGGCCGAGGAATCGCACCACGGAGTGGACTGACTCAAGTTCCTCTTTCCACTGACAACAAAAGGCCTGGGATAGTTTTGTTTTTTAAAAAAGGAGGAAACATTTATTTATACATTAAGCAGCAGGACAAAATGCCAAATAAATTTAAAAACAACCTATAATACAAGGCGGCATTCCTGTACAGATCACTCCAAGGATAGAACCGGAGGCGGAGCGGGTGTGGGTGGGGAGAGACACCACCGGGGTGACGACCACAGGCAGGAACAAGCGGGCGAGGGGGAGGCAGGTGGGCATCAGGGATCCTGGCTCTTCATATGCTTTGCATACGATTCATGGAGATGCTTCCTGTAAGCTGTGGAAGACATCATAATTAAGGCTGCCCCGGGCGCCGAGTGCGATGGCGTGGCTCTTCCCTTCCACCCACTCCCCCCAAACAGACACGCCAGTCCCTGTTCCCCATCGCCCACCCCCGAAGGCATCCAAGGGCTTGGGTACCAGGCCCCATCCCGATGTCCCACCCAACCTGAAAGTCTGATGAGGATCCTGGGCAGCCGTGTTCTCTGTGGCTACTGAGCACCCCCCCACCCCACCCCTAGAGCTGGGCAGGTTGCAGTTTTGATCCACTGCTCCTTGTCTGCAGCCTCTAGGCGTGCAGGAAAAAAGAAGGCTGCAAAGCTAGAGGCAACGTCTGCAACGCTGAACAAGAAACCTCTCTTTGGCTGCCCAGTGCCAAGCGTCATCATCCAGCTCCTGGCCCCAGATGTTCCCGGATCGGGAGTTCAGGGCCGAGGTGGGCGTTTGCCGGCAGGAGACCTGGAGCAGACCTCCAGAAGAGCTTGCGTTCCGCCTGGGCTCCTGTGAGCCGACTCCCCATTGTTGGGGAGCTCAGAGAGACAACCCCCTTCCTCTCCTTGAGCCCCCCCTCGACCCACCTGGAGAGAGAGAGAGAGAGAGAGACTCACCTGCCTGGTTCTTCCAGAGCTCTGCAGCATCTGTGTTGAGGGGGCTTTCGATGTTTGGTTCTTGATTGGGGGGGGGGAGGGAAAGAAGGCATTGACCAATTAGTCCCAGTGGGTGGGTGACTCAAGCGCACACGCACACGCACACACCCGTGGGGCCCAAGAACCTCCTTTCCCAGCCCTTACTTGGCACAAGGAGGGCAGGTCTCGGGCAACAACCTGCAAGCTGACCCAGGTCCTGCCCAGAGTCCATGCCGTTCCCACCCAGAAGGCTGGCGCTGGCCCAAGGAAGGAGGGGCCCCAGGAGGGTGGACTGTTTTTCCTGTCCTCCTCCCCTGACCAGGGTCTGGCACTTCTGGGTTTACCCAAATTGGGAATAATAATGACAATAATAAAGGAGACCCCCTCTCTTTTGCGTGGATGCAAAAGATCCTCTAAAATATGAAAAATCCAAGATTCCAAAAGAGCGGTTAGCAAAACACATAGACCTTTTTAAAAAATTATTATTTTTGGAGAGGTACTCCCCCAACCCCCATTTCATTTAGTGCTGCCTGCAGTGCCTGCCTGCCCAACTGCTGCCAGTGCAGCTGGACTGATGCTGCAGAAGTGACAAGAGGGAGAGCTTTCTCCCCGACGTGCCCCCAAATAGGAAATGTGGGGTATGCCATGTATGCATGAGTGTGATTTTAATTACAATCAGGGCAATGTCTTCTCTTTCTCATCTGCCCTGTTGATGAATTGATGAGGAAGTTGAGAAAAGGGATGTAACAATAAACTAATTTAGTTTTAATGTTCTGTATCCTATTTGGCTTGAATTTATTTATTTATTTATTACCATTTTTTAATATTGTTGTTTATACTGCAGTTAGCTGCCCAGAGTGGCCTGGTTGCCAGATGGTGCGGGGTGCAAATGCAATAAATAATAAATAAAAGAAAATGTCAAGCCGCTGTGAGTGCCTGCGTCATTAGGGGTCCTCCTCCTGTCATGCTGTTGTCAACCACTTCTTGGACTGACTAGTTTTCAGGGTGCCACAATTCTTCCTTGGCTTTGTCACCAGAAACCGGAAAGGGAAAAACTGAGCTGAAAGGACCCCAAAGTGTCTGAAAGTGAGTTGCTCCTCCAGCCCTTAAACATAAGCCACTTGAATGTGTGTATCCTGTGTCCCCCCCCCCGGGTATGCCCGTTTTAGGTCTGTGTTCAGGGATGACCCTGGATTATAAAAGTCTGGGCAACCAAATGGAATCAAAACCATGTTGGGCAAAGAACGGAGCAGTGAGGAGACAAGATAAAAAACCTCTGGTGCTGAGGAATATTTTCAGGTGGGAGAATTTCTGTGTTCGGTTTTCATTACAAAGACAGCAAACTCCACATTGCAAGGCCCCTCAAATCTCTAAGTGGGGGTGGGAGGGATCTAGAATGTGATGGCTAAACAAGTAGTGATGGGGACTGCTCACCATTTTGGCGACTTGTCCTGTTTCGTGATCTGTCAAAGTTGACGAAGCACGAAGCTCCCCCATGAACCGGTGAAGCACGAATTTATTTGGGGGGGGGGGTTAAACAGGAAAAAAACCTCCCCCCCGGTAATCGCTGGCCTCTGCAGCCATGGCCTGCAGTAAGGGACACTGGCTGCCCTTTTGCAAAGATGGCAGCTGCAGCTTCCTTTAGGGTAGGGAACCTGCTGTTTCCATCTTTGCAAAGGGCAGCCTAGCTATGGAGGCCAGCGGGAGGTGGTGGTCATGGTGGCAGCAGCTAAGATACTAAGATAGGAAAAGGAAGGGGGGGGGATAGCCTGTGGGGGGGGGTGGCTGCCTATTGGCCCACCAATCAGCTGATCAGCAGGCCCGTAGGCAGAATGGGAAATCCTACTAACATTAAATATTCATCTCTTTGTATTCGTCCAGGTCTCTGGAACTGACCAATACAAAGGGACAAATATGCCCACCAATCAGCTGATCAGCAGGCCCGGAGGCAGAAAGGGAAAGCCTACTAACGTTAAATATTCATCTCTTTGTATTCGCCCGGGTCTCTGAAACTGACCAATACAAAGGGACCAATAGTTCACGAACAGACGATTTCTCACGAATACCTCAATCAGTTTTTTTTTTCTTTGTCCCCATGTTTATAAACAAGCTCCGTCAAAGAGCCTGCCTTTGGGGCCTTGCCCGCCCTGAGCAGCCCCCTCCCCTCCGCAAGGGCTTCCGACCCACCTCCCAGCAGGCTCTGGATGGAGAGCAGGATGGTCCGGACGTCGTACAAGGCCGACCACTTGTCTTTGAGGATGTCCAGGCAGATGTTTCCCTGCAGGTCCACGTTGGGGTGGTAGCAGGGGGTGAGGAACTTGACGGTGGGCGCGTTGTAGGGGTACCCGCTGGGGAACTCCAGGGCCAGCTTGTACCTCAGGTCCTCGTACACCTGGCGTCAAGGAGGAGGAGGAGGAGAAGGGCATGAATCAGACCTGGTGGCCCCTGCCACCTCTCCCTTCCGCCCCCCCACTACAGTACCATTCTTCCTCCCCCCCCGCTGGCCTCTCTTCCCACAGGCTGGACCTCCAACTTGTAATGCCCGCCACCCCATACGCACCTTGGGAGGGGAGCGAGTTAAGAGAAAGAGGCCTAAGCGATTTTTCTCTTGGGGGGCGGGTTGTGGAGCTGCACCCCCACACACACACACTTGCAGACCCATCTCATGGGTTCATGCACAGGTAGTCTCAAGAACAGGCTACTGTAATGGCTCTAACGTGGGGCTTCCCTTGAGGCTGATCTAGAAGCTTCGGCCAGTCCGGAAGAGGGTGGCCAGGCTGTCGGGTGGGGTTAGCAAATGCCGGCGTCTAACCCCAACTCTGGTTGCCCGACACTGGCGGCCGGCGTGCTTCCCGGCCAGCTTCCAGGTGAGACGGTTCCAGGAGGGACCTCAGGGTCTGGCAGAATGCCTTCTTCCAGTGCAAAATGCCCCCTCTTTGGGCCAGGTTGGGCATCTGAGGATGCTGACCCCTGAGAGAGAGGAGAAGGGAAAATAGGGAGCGGGCCTTAAGGGGGGGGGGGGGGTCACACCCTGACTCTGGAACCCGCTACCTCCCAGATACTGCCTCCTGGTCCCCTTGCCGGCCACTTTTAAAAACAAGGCTGCTCTGACACGCATTTAATTCTGTTCCCCTCCATAGATTTCCGATGAAATCAGCAGCCAGCAAGA